TGAGATGCCAACAGCAGCAGGTGGTGGGAGGGAGGGAGGGAGGGAGGGAGAGAAAGTTGCCCACCTTTTTCTCTCTTTCTCTCCCTCCCCTCTCAGAGTTATGTGCTGTGCTGGGTACCCTAAAAAAGGTGATTTTACCCACCCAGCAGCAAGCAGAGCCTCCTTTCATACAGAAACCGGTATTATTATTATACAACAAGGGGTGCTTCAAAAGTTGAGCTACTGTATATACAGGAGCTCAACTAAAAATGACCATCTCCACAAAGATCATGTCTATACAACGATTTTCTTTGTATAAAGAATTTTGGTTTGGCCCCAGCATAGGTGTCTTCTCCCCATGTCATAGGGGTTCTCTATAAAAAAATTCTTTCTAGAATAAAGATTTTTCTGTTCCCTTGAATACTGCTGCAGAAAAAGTCCAGCTGTCTACATACATATGGTGCATACACAAAAATAGAGGTGGACTCTCTCTCTCTCTATCTCTCAACAACAATCTTGTTTATATACAACAATTTTCTATGTACTGTACTGGTAGTACCTTGCAATTTGATATCCCACAATTTGACCATCCCTCATTCCCTCATTCCAATGGTCAAATTTGCTGAGATGTTGACTTGCAAAATTTGACTTCTTGCCATGGAATTCCACCTGCAGAGAGACTCAAAATGTCAAATTTGATGTAGAAAACATTGAATTTGAGATTGTCTTCTAATTTGACAACTTTGAAATTCAAGCCTTATACCTGACAGCAGATTATAGGGTCAAATTGTGGGCAACCACCTTTTCTTAATAATATTCTTGGACCCATACAGTGTCTCTCTCAATTTTATAGAGGTTCTCTATACAAGAAAATCCCCCCTACAACAAAATTTTCCAATCTTTCAGATTCCAATGTGGGGAGAGATACAGTAAATATTATTGAAGAATCTGGGTCCCCTGCATATATCAACACAAATGAATGTACTCCAGAATCAGGCTTCTTGTAAATGCAACAGTTATGTTATGAAACAATATTTCCTTTGACAAGTTTTGAAAGCAAAAAAATATTGTTCCAACAGATGCTTACATAAGTATTGAACACATCATGTAGAAACCCATGCTTTTCAGCAAGAAAGGAATGGCATGAAATTGAAGCAATCAAGCAAAGGAGGATAGGGTGCAAACCTTTCAATAATGTATCTTCTCTTCATTTTCAACTGGATGATCAAAATTTGGGCAAGCAATTATATTGAGAAATAATGTAAGTCCATGTCAAGCCCTGTTCATCTCCAATCCAACAGGACTCCGGAGTTACAAATTGCTAAACAATATGACAGAACTTTTGAAACAACCCTCATACTATATGAAAGAAAAAAATATTCTGTACCCAGTGATTTAAATGCCCTCCAGTTACAAAATGCTCTATGACCCACAAAAGAACTGAATTCTGATGGCCTAGGTTCTTTCCAGTTCAATAGTTTGCTGCTTTCTGGAATGTCAGGCAGATGTCGCCTATATAAACAACTTAAAAGAATATAAGAATTGAACCACATTTAATGTATATGCTGCACTCTTGAATGCTCATAGAAAGCATAACAAATCCATCCAGTAAATTCTATTGTAAATCAAAGAAAATTATTAAATTATGCTACCTTTTTACAGAACCTCACAGCTCACATTGAGGAATCATAAAATTTTGCAGAAAAGTGCCTGTTTTCAACCAAATAAAAATCACCAAACACACTAAACACATAAGTCAATAAAAATAAAGATAGGATCAACACCAAAGATGAAGAAGTATGCAAAATTACAAATGTCAGACTTTACTGCATTGAAGTGAAAACAAACAAGTTTTATTTCTTNTGAAAACCTGCTGGTATGATGAAAAGACTGAAGAGAATCATGAAGAAATAATGAATAATCATTGATAATTACTGCTGGATCTTCAGTAGCAATCACTTGAGAGACAGTTTTGCAGGGGGATCCAATCACTTCCAGCCACTGCAAGGCTTCAGGGGACAGTTCATCAGTTGGCAAATTTGTATTAGGATCCACCAGTGCCTGTAAAATAATTACCCAGGAAATATTAAGTACATATAAGCTGCAAAGATGTCAAATTGTGTATTAAAAATGGCCTAATTATACCTTGAGGCCAAACAGAGCAGAAATGAACTTTCTGGACTCCCCAACAACAATGACACTAGTGATGGCAGGGTTCAATAGTCTCTTCAACTTCTGTTCAATTGGGCTTGGAGAAATCTTTTTGCCCCCACAAGTGACAATCAAGTCCTGCATGTGAAGAAGGAAAAATAAAAGAATGGCCTGAAGAATAAAAATGCAAAAAATATGTTTACCTTAATCCTCCCAGTGATCCAAAGCCTTCCCTGAGGGTCAAAGAACCCCAAGTCTCCACTTTTAATTCTTCCCAAGTCATCAATCATCTCAGAGGTTCTCTCTGGGTCTTTGGCATAGCCCATGAATCTGATTCTTCCATCAAACATCACCTGAACAAACAATAAAAAATGAAAGCTAATTTATCTTTTGTCTAATTGCACTGCCTTTGAACCTTGGGCAACAGAAGAAAATTTTATTGTTCTTTCCCATCAATTTTGAGGTGGCCCAATGTCACCAAAAACGCAATCTGAGATGAGGAGCCAATTTACAGGAATATTTGAAAAATCATAGGTTTTAAATTATGATTCTCTTGTACATTTTCTTTAGTTGATTAGACTATTATAGAGCATGTTAGGTTGAAATTACAGATTTTCAGCTGAGCAACTATTTTCCTTATAGAAAAAATAGCTTCAACTTCAGAAGCACACATTTTTCAATGTATGTCTGACTTTGTTCAGACTCATCATCAACACTATCTTTGATGCTATTTGCCAAATTTCTCTGCACAAATTAAAAATCTGTGTTTTTTTGTAGAATATGAATCAGCAACAAAAAATTCACCTCTCCTTCAGTTCCACCATCACCACAAGGTTCCACAACAACATTGAATCCTTTCACAACTCCTCCACAACTTCCAATTCCAAAGAGAGTTGGAGTCTCTATGTTTGTTGGTCCACACTCTGTCATCCCATACTCCTAAAAATATTATGATCATTTTTTCATTCATCCTCAATTAGTAAAAGTGATTGCTTTTATATACTTGAAACAGTTGGATGTCAAAGCTGAGAAAGTACTCCACAAGGGCTGCACTCACAGGAGCTGCTCCAACTGCAAAGTACCTCATCCTGTCCAAGCCCATTCTTTTCTTGATTGAGTTGAAATGCAAAAGTTTTGCCTTTTTCAAATTGGCCTCCTGAGATATTGTCCTTCAAGCACAAGAATAGCACATAATTCAGGTCATATGATGTACATGATATACAAAGCTGCCTTATTTTGAAAACTTGAATAGCTTGGAGGTAATTTTGACAATTTGGTACATTATTTGAATAACAAAGTTTAACCCTTTCATGAATTTGGAATTGGTATGTGTGCATATAGTACATATTCATGCTGCTTGCTTTTTGGGATTCAGTCTGTATCATGAGTAATGACTCTATAAATATTTTAACTATAATTGTTTCATAAGGTTGTCCATTATGTAAT